AATTTAAAACACATTTTTTTTTTCATTGGAAAAGGTAGAATGTGCAATTTAATTTTGCAGTCGACTAAAACTAGACATCCCATTGGAATTGAATGAGGCAAAAATAAAACAAAGGGACCCAACGACGACCCGTTGAAAGGGACCCAAAATAGTTGATGGTTGAATAAGTATAACGCTACTTTGTACAGAGTTTAAGTATTAAGTTTTTGTGGGCAAAATTTTATTTTCTGTAATTCAAGTTGGCCTTATTTAGAAAACGTGTATTATATGGGCACACATCAAACTTTTAATACACTAACTTATAAAAAAATATATATTCACTAATTTTGAGTGGCAAAATAACCAAAGACCCGAATTGTTTAAATTTACAATGGTTTGAAAGCGAGCCGAGAATTGAGTTCGTGCGCATAAACTTTGGATGAAAATTTGAGTGGTCAAACGAATTTTCATTGTACTGAAATTTTGTGGGTACGACCATCTCGATCAGACGAATCCAATGGTGGGTCTGTTGAAACGAATATGGAACGAGATTTGAATCGGGCCAAATCGAGAACAACTCAAATTACTTCGAAGGAACATTTGAGTAGGAAATGAACTCTTAGTGTGCTAACAGTTTTGTGAGTGTGACCGCCTCGAGGAGGCAAATACAATGGTGGGTCTCTCGACTAGATGTCATATGATTGTGGAATTTTACATCCCAACCTAAGTGATACATTAAATTTTTCAACCCGACTACTAACAATCTAACTTTTTCACCTTGAAAAATACGAAGGTTATTCCAATAGTTCGCATAACAGTTGCATATCAATCGCATAAGTGTCGCATATTCATATTAGAAAGTGCCAAGGGTTATGCGAATGCCTTAGCATTTTTAACTTTCGCACAATTGTCGAATAATTATCACATAATGCTTTCGCACTTTTTGATGTGAAAAAATTAACTTATAATCCAACAATGTGAAAAATTTATTTAATCTTAAAACGGAATGTAAATAACTATTATCTCTAACAATGATGCAGTGTACCTATATCTAGGTTCTAAGTTGTAGTCAAATTACCCCCATCCAATTAGGCGAATACAAACATAAAGCCACTTGTATTATGGTGGTCTTGTGGCTGGATTTTTGGTCAACCAAAATTTTGAAGAATTTAAATAATCTACCACCGATTAAGGTCTGACCAACAAAAAGCAATGTCAAAGGCTTCCCACTATGTCGTTTTGGGAGAAGAAGAA